TCGTCACAACCCACGATTTGCGAAGCTATGCTAACTTTTTCATTCATATATAATTCACGACCGCCATGGCTTGTCGCTATATATATATATATACTATATGCATCGTGTGTGTGTGCTTATTAATCTTTATTCTCACTTCACACGAAATTCTGTTCTATTCCGTCTGATGGCTAGTTATGCGGCCGCGCCTTGTGTGATGTGTGTTGTGTGCATGTGATGAATGTGTCTGGCGTGTGTGTGCTGTGCGGTCGCTGTGGCGCTGCGTGCGTCGCTCGTGCGTGCGCTCGTGCCATGCGCCCGCGCGCGCGTCGACCTGCTGTGACTGTGTCGCTGAATAGTGCTGATGTAGCTACTGTCTGTCTGTCTGTCTGTGCCTGTATCTGTGTGTGTACCTTACCAACGACATTCAGCACATGTAGTTTGCTTAATGGAGTGTTGCACTGCGACTTGTCGCCTTCAAAAGTCGGTCGTAGACACAACCTTATGGCCATAGCATCAGGCTGTCACTACTGCTCTTTAGTGCCGTGATGGAAAATCATTTCGATATTAGACGCTTGGCAATCAAAGCGATACATATATAACGAAAACACTACTTGGCTACTCTCAGCCTACTGCTTAAAGTATGTTTTAAATCGTGTGACCTGACCCATCGCTATCGCGGTAATGCGCATTAACGTGAATCGGTGGTCATGAATTCAATATTAAACTATTATCTTTGCAAACCATTCAATTTGCGATGGCAAACTGCAGCAGCAACAGCAGGCAGCACATACCCTGCGCAGTCAAATCTCCAACGAGTGACTGCATACATCGCCCACCCACAGCAGCAAGCCAACCGTATACGTTTGAATTGCACAGTTCCCACAATCTCATCTCTGCTCCAATGCCATTCAATACATGCCCAGAGACACACCTGGAAACACCGCCACTATAGTCGTCATATATAGTTATTAGATAATTAATTGCGCAATACTTATCTATATTAGCCGATACGCGGCCCCAATACCAGCACTGAGAAGCAGCTTGCCACGGCACGATGTCATATACATATGCGCTTACGCCACTCCTGCCTGCATCGGCCGTCTTCTCAACCTCTATCAAAAGAGATGTACTCCGTTTAGGAAAGAATACAAATCATCATCAACATACACTGATGCAATGATGACTGCAAGAGTCAGCGATCATGCGGATCGCCCCCACTCCTCAGAACAGAGCCAATTTTGGCAACAGTTTCTGTTCGCTTGGTTTCCAATCGCTAACCGCTTCCTTGGTTGCTAATCGTCGTTAAACAAAACCACGTTAGACTATAAATATTTACTGACGTAGAGAACATGTGTGCTAGTATGATCAGTGCATAAAACTAAAACTCCTATACAGAACGAATTTTTGTACTGTAAACAAAGCTTGGGAGCTGCTGTCGGAAAGCAAGCGTTCCTGTCTTCGTGTCTTCTAGATATTAAATTCAGGATTGCGAGTGAATTATTTATATACCGATACATATAATCGTGAACAAGGGATTCATGGATGAATTTGGTCTCCTACATACATAATTAAGCGCGTTAAACGAAACCTCCCCGCAGACGTTTTCATGAACATCTTCTCATCATTAAATTATAAACAGCTACACATTTTTGGGATGCGATGGTATTGCTCCAATATTGCAGTTTCGTGAGTTCCTCTTTATATTAAAACCGAGTAGGTAGTATTCCATCCCCTGTCTGTGTTTCAACAAATTCGGGGCTGGCACTAATAGATGCGTAAAACGGAGATGTGCATTGGCCTCGCTGTGCATATGCAAAACACTAAGGACGTCTGGAGGTGGGAGATAACATTCCCCAGATTAATTAGAGCTCAGATTAATTAGTCACCTAATGATACATAAGAGCTCTGCATTTTCAACAAAACAAAGAAACGCTGGCTGCATCCTTAAAATGAAGCACTCTCGGGTCAACCTCTTCGTGTATGAAAACGAGTATTGAGGAGACACGTATGCCGTTAGCCAGGAATGCACAGCATATATTTATATAGCTTCTTTTCACGATATGTGAGCAGTAGAAGCATCGCCGGCGTGTAAACGATGTTGATTGCCGCCGTAGTCAGTAGGCGGTCCCACAGCCGCGTACGTATTCAGGACCGACGAGGGCCATTTTTATTTTAACGGGACAATACGCTCATTATACGTCCATACGGAACATATGCCGTCTTATTAGTTACGATTAGATTTAGCTGGTCAAACCCTCACACGCTGTGCTTATTCCTGTAGGCGTATACTGTCGATGTAAGGTCACTCTCGCCGGTCTATTCCAGACTTTTTACGCATTTAAACACTGATGCAGCACATGAGGACATGGTTGCTCATGGGTTTGCTCATACAGCGAACTTAGATTCAAATAAAACATGCATCGCGATCAATAAATGGAGTATTTGTCGTTTCGTCTATGTGATATTCCGCGTTGGGACATTAGCGAGAGCCATTCAATCGTCAATCAAGCCACTTGTGACCTTTAGACCTAATCTTTGTTAGATTGTCAAGTTTCATGAGCTGTATATTAATCCCGTCCTACTTAGTTGTCTACATGTCCTGCAGACTTGAAGAATATAACAATATAGAAATTTCATCTAGTAGGCAATATTTGGTTCGAAAACCTACCTATTAAGCTAGGCTCATCCAAGCTAGTCTCATCCAAGCTATAGCCTCATCCAAGCTATAGCATCATCCAAGCTAGTCTCATCCAAGCTAGCCTCATCCAAGCTAGCCTCATCCAAGCTAGCCTCATCCAAGCTATAGCCTCATCCAAGTAGTCTCATCCAAGCTAGCCTCATCTAAGTAGCCTCATCCAAGCTAGCCTTATCCAAGCTAGCCTCAT